AAGGTTTCCAGATCCGGTCGGCAACAGACCATAGATCCGAACAAATAATAGCATATATGGGAAACATATAACATTTAGCACATAAGGGCATTTTAGGCATCTTTCCTAAAATAAACTAGTGCTTGTGTCTAAAATATAGTAGACACTCATCTCACAATCATCACTTAGCATTCTAAGTTTAAGTCTAGAAATCGTAGGATATTTCTCAGTTCGTTTAAACTAATGCTCTGATACCAACTGTGACACCCCCCAATTTCACGGCCAGAAAAGACCGATTTCGTTTATGCTTTTTAAAATAAAATCAGAGTAATCATTTGATTATAAGTGTTACAGAATTTGTTCCCAAAACCAAACATGATAAAAATTTATCAAAACCTTTCTTTAAGAAATATATATTTTTATTTCATAACAAAGCCTCGGGATGTCATGTTCCGATACAGATCAAAAGCATAAACAAGACATTATAAGCCTTACACAGTTATTTACAACTACTGGCCTATAATCCAAAATCACTCATCGTCATCATCCGACTATGCTTGGGGTCCACTACCTGTAATATAAAAAGCTGAGTGGGTCAGGCTTGGAAGCCTGGTGAGCATATAGGGTTTTCAACCCACAATAAATAATAAACTCTTTAAGTTTATCAATCAACAAATAATTTATTAAGTTCCATCAACCAAAAACAACCCTAATTACCTATTCCCGTTATCCTCACCTTACGTCCCTAAAACAACTATCACAAGGAACCTAGCCTAAGGATTTTCATTAGGGGTGACAACTTTGTTTCGGGGATTCCTCAGCAATTATGTCAAATTAGGCAACCTACATGGTGACAACACTGCTTTCCTCAGCAATTTATGTCAAACAAGACAACCTAACACAAAATGACCAATAAGGTGACAACATTGCTTTCTTCAGCAATTTATGTCAAATAAGGTAAACATCGGGGTGACAACATTGTTTTCCTTCAACAATTTATGTCAAATAAAACAACCAACAATAGGTGACAACATTGCTTTCTTCAGCAATTTATGTCAAATAAGATCACCTGACATAAAACAATTAGTATGGTGACAACATCGCTTTCCCTCAGCAATTTATGTCAAATAAAACAAACACCGGGGTGACAACATTGTTTTCCTTCAACAATTTATGTCAAGTAGGCACGAAGTCACATCGTCGCCAAGGTTTATACAACAGGCACTAAGTTCATAGCTGCCAGCATACTAAATCTGTAGCTACCAACGTACATCTATACTGTACTAAATTCATAGCTACCAACGTACATCTATACTGTATTTCTATCCCTCATACTTTATCTACTCATGTTTTACCCAACATATTTGAAGATAAAATATATATACATTTTAAATCATTTTAAACATGTATAAAACATTCATTCAACACCCATCTCGAATAAACAAACAACATATATACACATACCACGTATTTTATATAAAATACTTCATATCTATGTGTAAGATGAAAGTGACTACACACTCACTTGATTTAATGAAAATCGGGCAGCAATTCAGCAATTTATCAGCAATTTATCGTCTCTAAATTGACTAGCCCGGATCTACGGGCGTTACACAGACCTTCAATCTTTGGACTTCATTTGTCATTTTTTTAGAGCGCTGATTCAACATCAATATTTGACCTACGAAACTGGATTACAAATTCGAGGATCGGCCTAAGTAGAAAACTTACATCTTTCAAAAAGTGAACCAAAGATTCAAAAAGTGAACGAAACATGTAGTGTCGTTCTAAGCCGATTTGAGGTACCGAAAAAAATAAATAAATAAATAAACCCTTACCAAAAAGAATATTCCAAACTATATGTATTTTTTAAAACTATAAAAATTTGTCAAACACACTTCAAGTAATTAATTCTTAACATATTTATTTATATTTTTTTTATGAAAACTTCATAAAATATATTTATTATAAAGTTATAATAAAATTAATTATTTGTATATTGCTAATTCGAAATAGATGTTATTTTATTAAAATAACATTTGTTAATTAAAAAAGTTACATAAAAATGGTGTAAAAATTGAGTTTTTGTATAGGGTTGGAGATGCTCTTACAATAAAAAAAGTATTAGAAGGTGGTTTTCTTTAAATGGACCATTGTTATAAATTTCCCGTTCGATTGGTTTTGTAATAATATTAGTTTTTCGTTTTTTCCATTTCTCAATACCAGATAAATGTTTTCTAAGCAACATGTTATTATTTTAAATTTATAAAAAAATGAGGAAAAAAACAAGTAAAAGAAACGAAAAACACTTTAATTCTGAACTGGTGATGTCAAATTATTTTCAGAATCGTTTTCCAACAACAAGGATAATAATTTTTGAAATTTTTTCTAGACTCCAACAACAAGGATTTCAAAATTTCTAATGTTGAAGTCTTATGTTGTTTACAAAAAACCAGAAAGAAAACATATAAATTAAATTTTTATTTGAAAACTGACATTACAGAAGGAAAAAACAATAACAAATTAATCTTCCAATTTACATGAATTGGAAATCGGATAAGTCAAATCAGAAATCAGAAATCAAACCGGTGAGGTTGTCTGAAATCAGATTAACACGAATAGAAGATCGGTTTTTTTAAGGATGTGTAAAATAAAATTATAAGCATCGATGTATTAAGAACGACTGAAATCAGAAACCAAAAAACATATATTGAAATCGAAAATCAGAAGGTTGCATAAAAAAACCAGAATCGATTTATATAGTCCCTCGATCGATGGTGGTCACGGGTTCAATACAATGATTATTGTAGATGAATTGCACATCCCTAAATTTTACTGATAATTTTTTTACTCCATTTCTATTCAATTTTCTCCTCAACCGTTACACATGATATATCAAGTTTTTTTATGTAGAAGCATAATAAGGTATATAAAAATTGGGGCTCAGTAAATTTTGAGGCCCTAAGCCATCACTCATGCTGGCCCATCCATTAGCACAACCTGAGGAGATGTTACAATCTCAACACTTTAATTCTTAATGTCAAACATCTCCAATTTGTTAAACTTTTAAAAAGTTTCAACTTTTGTCACATCAGTCTTCCACTTATCTTTATTTAATAAAAATCTTTTGTCATAAACATTCTCCTTTTCCAAAAGTTTTATTTTATAATTTAACTAATTTATTCATTATCTATCTTAAAATGTTATATAAAACTCTCACCTATAGTTTATCATTTATTTCAATCATATTTCATATATTTAAAAAAAAATTACTTGACACTCAAATATAACCAAATACAAATAACTATATCTAGTTTATTTTACTAGAATAAATAAAAAGATGATAAAAGCTATATATATATATATATATATATATATATATATATATATATATATATATATATATAAAAGAAAAACCACAAAAAGATTATGTTATTGTGAAGTTTTATAAGATTTGATATTTATATTAGGGAAATCTTCTAAGAAGTCTCATTATTTGGGGAAATTAACAATTAAAGTCCTAAAATTATTTTTTTTTAACAGAAAAGCCTAATAAACCGGCAAATTTTTTTGCTTTAGCCCTTTTTATGTTGAACATGAGACAAAATTGTTATTTTTTCCAAAATAATGTGATTTTTCTACAAATTTCTTAAAAATTTGAATATAATGTATAAACATATTTTTATGTATTTTTATGTATTTTGAGTTATCTTTTGATATATATATATATATATATATATATATATATATAGGCTTAGGTTATTTTACTCAAAGTAATTATTGTGTTATTGTATGCATAAATGTGAGCCAATCAAATTTGCTTATTTTAAGAAAGTAATTAATATACATTATTGAATTAAATATAATTGAAAAATATCATCTTAATTAATTACAAGGGTAATTTAGTCAATTAATATAGATTTAATAAAGAATTGCATTTTTTTAGGGATCATAGATTCTATTAATTTTAAAAATCCGATTGTACGAATTATAATTCTTTTAATTCGGACATTCTGACAGAATATGTTTATGAGTATATTCAAAAATAAAAATATTCTTGAACCATAAATAATAAAAATATTCTTGAACCTATTTCTTGATCATGACTTTAAAAACTTCTTGTAGAATAACAAATTCTTGAACAATCAATTGACGAATAAAAACAAAAAATACATTATTTCTTATAGAATACGGGTAACAATTGTTAAGAATTATATTTATTGTTAAAGAATAAAACTAAAAAAACTTTCAAAACGGGAAAGAAAACATCAAATCTAACAACGACACTAATACATTCTAAAAGAATAATGTTGCTTAGAATCACTTTCAATTTCGTGGTCCGTTCTTCAAGCATCAACTTCTGTGAAAACAAAACAAAATTGTAGTTTAGATTCCAATAATGCATTAGCAAATGAAAAATAAAAAACTAAATTCCTTTGGAAAAAGATGTGGACTTGTGAATTGCACCAAATCCAATAAACAAGAATTGTAGAACATGCATAAATCAGTGAGAAAATATCCATACTCCATTCCAATAGAATTGGAATTCATTACTCCATTCCAACAGAATTGGAATTCATGATTCCATTCCAACAGAATTGAAATTCATGATTCCTTTTATCTTCTTCATGTCAATCTCAAGAATTGTACCACACATTTATGTTTTCTTTCCCTTAGATCACAATGTACTCCATATCTATCAAAATTCACAACTATACAATAAGATCATCAAGAGAATTGATTTTTTTTATCTATTTAACTAGTAAAACCCAATCAAAAGAAACATACCCAATCAAAGAAGGGATCATCACCATTGTTCTTCCTTCTCTTTTCTGTCAAATGAATCAACCAAAGCCTTCCCTGTTCTTCTCCTTTGTTTTCCTGCCAAAGAACACCACTAGAGAAGGGTAAATCAAGAGAGCAACAACCCTCTCTTGGTCATCCTTGCTCATCACCGATTCCACAAGCAAAAGCCACTGATTTCTTGCTTCCATTACCATTAAAAATTAAACAAAAAAAAGATGAAGAACGAAGGGGCTGCAGAAACAGCCCCCTGCTCACCTGTTTCACTGCAAATCCCCCTCCCCTTTCTGTTTCAATGGTCAATAGCCTCATTTTTATGTTCTCTTCCTTGTAAAAACAACAAAACCAAACACCCATCTTTTCCCTCTATTGATTTCTGTCTAAAACAAGCAAAAAAAAAAAAAAACAGAAACAAACCTCAAAAAAGCAGACGGAAATGCCGACTGCCACCACCCTAGACGACCCATTGCCTCCCTACAACTCCCATCTGCACCCACCGAAGGCTACCGCAGCTTTGTTGCTTCTTCCTTCGGTCTAGCCAAACCCCAGAGGTCCTCCCTTTTCCCCTCGTTTTCTTCCTTCTCTGTTGTTCCCATCGACCGCATCGTCGCTCACCGTCGAAGGAAACCCACCGCTCGTCGATCACCGACGTCGGTCGTCGCTGCTACGGTGCCTCCGTCGCTGCTACTGCTGTTACCGATTTAGTGATGACATCTTCAACGGCGAGAGTGGGGTTCTTCAGTATCTTCTTCATCGTTGCCGGGAAATTAGGTCAGTAGCCGATTGGATGGTCGGCGTGAAGGAGTCTTCAACCGGTGATGAAGATTGATCCTACACCGGTGATGAAGATTGATCAGATCAGTCGTAGGCCTTATATAAAAGGGGGGGAATTAGGTTAAAATCAACGTAACTAGCAAAATTATAGGGAATATTTGTGGAAGTTATTTCTCAAATTACCTAGTTACCCTTATTGATTTATTTAATTATTGTTTTTTCTATTAATTTTTGATTGGTCCACAATCATGCATACAATAATACAATACTTAGTTAGAATACCTGAACCTCTATCTCTCTCTCTCTCTCTCTCTCTCTATATATATATATATATATATATATATATATATATATATAGGCTTAGGTTATGTTGTTTTTACTAACTATTGTGTGCCAGAATGCACAGATCTGGACCACCGGATGGAAGAGAATCAAAGATCATGATCTGAGGGTCTATGATATTACAATAGGGTAACATGTACCATATAATCACACAAAATTCAGCATAAGGGAATTTTAGTCAATTGAGACAAATTTAAAAAAGGAAAAATCTAGATTTATGGGATAATTAATGATTTTGATTTAAAAAATCTGATTTTTTTTCAAATTAATTCAATTTCAAACGTAATTTGTAAGCATAAACCGATTTTATTCTATCAGAATGTTATTTTGTTAGAATGATATTCTGTAATTCTGTGAGAATGGTATACAACTATGAACATAATATTATAAACACATATTATCAAGACGAATAATTTTTAATGAATACAAATTTTATATAAGAGGAAGTTTAATAGTTTAGAATAAGTAAAACATTCATTATTAAAGAATACAACTATGAACATAAATTACATTCATTCTTGAAATCTCTTGCAAAAAAAATATCGGCATTCTTGAAAGAATCCTCATTCACTTTCTTGTTTCGTTTGTATATGTCTTGTGTATGTTTGACCTCTAAGCCACTTCAGAATATGGTACCATTCTATGAGATTGACATTTTGTGAGATTGCTATTCTGTCAAAATTATATTGCATGAGAATGATTTTATACAAGGAGCTGCAAAAAGGAGATAAACTCGAGGATGGTAAGTGATCCCTAGGTAAAACTTGAAACATCTAAAAAACATAAGAAACAAAAATCATGTTAAAACATCAGCCAATTGCAATACAACCCTTGCAAAATCTTTCTTATGTGATTCTACCATAATCATTCTTATGTGATTATACAGGAAATACAATTCTGGCAGAATCATTCTTATGTGATTCTCTAAGATTATAATACTCTACACATTATTCAAATAGAAGAATACATTAGATACAGAATATTCTAAAAGAATGAAATAACAATTCTTAAAGAATGAAACAATTGAAGATAAGAATAAACACCCAATGATGAGGAAAGAAAGTCATTTTCACAGAATTAGCTTAATTAGCTTAAACTGAAAAGTATTTCATCAATCGATCAACAATTGGTCCATCTTTTGCTGCAATTAGAAGCTTGATTAGTGATATTTTAATTAAAACAATACAACATACAATCGAATCAGTAGAATAATAATGTATATTTCATCATCTGTAGCAATTAAAGCTTGATTAGAATATACAGAATATTCAACACAGAACATAAAACATAAGTAAAAGTAGTTAGAATAACTAGTATACAACATACATTAGAATAAGTAGAATAATTTGAAGTGAATATTTTATCAAACCAACATACATAGAATAAAAAATGTAAACCACAATGCTAAAAATATTTCAGGTATACATAACTTACAATATCTAGAATAAATCAAAAGAAATCATTATCACATAAGAATATCTAGAATGTTTAAGGAAGAATGATGCAATGTTGGCATTATGTCGAACACTTGGTGGGTGGAAGTTACACTTTCACATTACACATAGCAGATTAACATGTCAATATCGACATCAGATTCAACAACAAGGTAAACATCATGTGCAATTTCAGAAAGCAATCATGATTAAGGTGCAAAATCCAAAATCAATTTCAAAACCAATCAATCGACCTTAAGGTGCAAAATTAGAAACCAATTAACATCATATTCCAGATGCAAAATCGGAAACCAATTTAAAATCAGCCGGAGTAAACGAAAAAAACAATCATACCTAACCAAAAAAGAAGACTGTCGAGCTACCGCCGACAATTTTTACAACCTTGATATATATATATATATATATATATATATATATATATATATATATATATATATATATATATATATATATAGACACACACACATACCTATTTATGTATTTTTTTGTTTTTTATATGTTTTTTTACGTTTTTTATGTATTTTGAATGTATAAACGTATTTTTTATATATTTATATGAATTTTTAAATATTTTTAGGTACTTTTTTGTATTTTGTAATATTTTTCATGTATGTATGTACTTTTTAGAGTAAATTACACGAATGGTCCCTATGGTTTGGGTAATTTGCGCGCTTGGTTCCTAACTTATTTTTTTAACTCGGAAGGTCCCTACTGTTTCTTTTTGTTACGCGTTTGGTCCCTGTCATACATAAAAATACTATTTTTCCTTTGATTTTTTAATTTATTTAAATAAACACACCCCCAAATCCACCCCCTCACCTTACCTTACCTACCCCATAATTTTTCTCTATTTAAATAATAGTCATTTTAGGTAAGACAATGACCGAACGTATAACAAAAAAAACAGTAGGGACCAAATGCGTAACAAAAAGAAACATTAAGGACCTTCTGAGTTAAAAACATAAGTTAGGGACCAAGCGCGCAAATTACCCCAAACCATAGGGACCATTCGTGTAATTTACTCTACTTTTTAAAGTTTTTATATATTTTTTTTATATATTTTTACGTATTTTAATTATGTAAACATTTTTTTTATGTATTTATGTCTATTTTTTTAAATATTTTGAAGTATTTTTTGTATATTTTGGCATATTTTTTTACGTATTTTTTTTCTTCAAGTTTCATTATAAACTAACTATTAGACATTGTAAATGAAGAAAATAATAGTAGGGTACTTCAAAACAAATAGTATTTTTCAAAATAGATTATTAGCAATCAACCCCATTTTCGTTGGTAAAAATTTCCTTTTTTTTTCTTAAATTCAGTCTGTATATGAACAAAATTTACAAATATCTTTGTTGTTAATAAAGATATTTGTAAACTTTATTCGTCTACAAACTAAATTCAAGAAAAAAGATAGAATTTAATTGTAAAATTGACGCTTACTAATGATCGTGTTTTAAATATGTTTGTTTTGAAGTACTCTACTTTTTTTTTCCTTCATTTAAAAGGTCTAATATATAGCTTACAATGAAACTTAAATTGAAAAAAAAAACATAAATACGTAAAAAAATTCCAAAATGTATAAAAATACTTAAAAAATACATATAAATACGTAAAAATATATAAAAGTATTTAAAAATTACATAAATAAGTGATAAAATATACCAAAAATACATATACATACGTAAAAATACTTAAAAATCATATAAATACATAAAAATATGTTTATACATTTAAAATACATAGAAAGCATAAAAACAACTATATAAAAACTTAAAGAATACATATAAATATGTAAAAAAAATACTTAAAAATAAATAAATATGTGATAAAATATAACAAAATACATAAATCAATGTAAAAATACTTAAATATTCATATAAATACTTTAAAAATCATTTATACATTGAAAATACATAAAAACGCAAAAAAAATAAAAAAAAATAAATAATAAAAAATAAAAAATAAAAAACTATACAAAAAACCTTAAAAAATACATATATATATATATATATATATATATATATATATATATATATATATAAATACATAATTATATGTTTATACATTATACATAATTTTTAAGGAAATCTGTAGAAAAAACTCATTATTTTAGAAAAATTAACGATTTGGTATTATGACTTTGCTAACTAGGTAAAAGATGGTAAAGTGAAGAAGTTTGCCGGTTTTTAGGTTTTTCTATTCAAAAAACTAATTTTTGGATTTAATCGTTAATTTTTCTCAAAATATATGAGATTTTTCTGGAAATGTTCTTTTGGTGAAGTTTTGACAATTAATTTACATTATATACTTTTTGTAAAATACATTCATTTTATTTTGTATATTTAATTAAACTTGTTAACTAGTAAAAATAGTAATAGAGATTTAACAGCTAAATAAAAGTATGGTATAAAATTAAATTTTAATAAATTGGGACCTGAATATGCAAAATAAATAAGATAATTAAAAAGTTAAGAAACATTAAATGGTTGGAATGACCTATCGATAAAACACACTACTCGATTGACTTTTCAAAAATTTTAAAATATTAATTCTTTTTTTGAAAAAGTTATAATGTTCTAACAGCTCAAATTAAACCAATGTGTCCACTCTCCACAACCCACAAGTATATCCATATGGCAACGTACAAAACCCATCGATACCTTATATATATAGTATATACTACATGTGTGACATTGAATCTTTAAATAGCATACTTGTCTAAAATATCTCAAAGCAACTAAAACAATGGTGGGGGTAACTATTGTCTCACTAGTGACTAGTCCCTACCAAAGATTTCTCAAAGGGTTCACCTGTTACGATCACAAGAAAAGGTGAATGGGGCCACCAAACTCTTATATTGCCCAGATGACAAAAGCCAAAAACTATCATCCACATAACCGACAAGAAAACCCCATATGGATGAAATGTTTCATATATAGATAAAAAAAACAATTTGAATCGATTTTACTTACAAGAAACAAACAAAATCTGAGGCATCATTGTCAATATATACTCCAACAGTCCAACTCCATGATCAGTGCAGGTATATTGCAACGTACAGAGATATGAATATATCAAAGATAGAACAAAGATGCTAAAGATGCCACCAAAACGCACAAACAACTTATCCTCCCTAAGCGAGCAATAATGGCATAAACTGATGTGGGACCCAGACGTGACACACAAATGAAATGTTCAGCTCCAGAAGCTAAACCATAAAAAAGCAGACTGGTAATAGCTACATTGATGGACCTAGGGTGCGTATTGAAAGGAAATTCAGATCCTTGCGACTTGATGTCTGCAAAAGCATATAAACTGGTGATGATAAAGCTAAGTGGGGATGGGGGCATGATCACAGCTGATTCTCCGAATGTTGGAAGGTAATAGTTGATCCATAGTCGATGGAGAGGTTCCAGTATATTAACGATGTGGGCTATGCATTTGTAGAAAGATGCAATGACTAAACGGAATGTGCAGTGGTTGGCTTCTGCGGGTGGTTCTACCAACGCCACCACCACTACTTCTTCTCGGTTGACCGGAATATCCGTGGGGAAGAAAGGGAAAGGCATTATTCTTTTTCAATTTTTTAAGAGGAAGGTTGGGTCATTATGAGAAAAGCCATGCTTCCTTCCAAATACTATTTATAAGCAAACTACTTTAGGAAAGCCGACATCCCCTGTGACGTAATAATAACAAATGAAGTCATTTTTGTTTTTTAAAATTGAAAATTATAATAAAATAACAAATATATTAAAAATCTTTCCTAATAAATGAAAATAATTTTGGCACATGTCACTCTCTCATTAACTTGGACGCATGTCATTTTTTGGTATTTTTGATTAAATGTTTTTATCTATTTGTCACTTTCTTATTTTTTTTCTTGATTAACACATCATATTTACACCTCAATTAATAATTACTTTAATTGAAAATAATCAATAAATGACCATAATTTCAAATTTTAAATTTTAAATCTAAAACTTCAAATTTAAATAAATTTTTGTTTAAACTTTCATATTTAATTTTTCATTTTATCAAAACTCGTATAGACACCTACTTATATACATATATTCATTTAAAGTATAGGAATAGTCCGGATAAAAAAAATAAAGACTAACAGATTGGACCAAATGACATAGATTGGACCAAATTTGAACAATTTATTTGATGAGAAACATTAAAGATATTTTATAGGGATAATGACTTAAAAGGGTAACATATTATTCGATTTGTACACATTTGGTCACTGAGTTTTTTTTCCGTCCACATTTACCCCTTAAACTTGTTAAACTGTACACATTCAGTCCTTATTACCTGTTACTCCAGGTTAGCCGGGAAAAATGACTTGATATGGTAATATATTTTTCATTTTGTACACATTTAGTCCTTAATATTTTTGTACATATTTAGTCCTTAACATTTTTTTTTTCAAAATAAGTCATTTTTTTGTACTCATTTAGTACTTATGAATGATTTCTTTAGGTTTTTTTCACGACATCTTACGTGAGATAATCATTGATGAGGTGTTTGGGGTTGTTGATGTTTATGTCCAATGCGATCCCGACTGCTTGGTTGCGTAAGTCTTGTGGTTTGGCTTAGGTCTTGTATTTTGAACATCGTAACTTCTTCATACGATATCAGATTTTAAGGATTTTTATCCACGTGTTCATTTTTTGAGTCTAGTACAACTTTCATTAAGATTACTCCCGTTAAAATGTAATATATTTTTACTAACGATTTTATAAAAAAAACATACATACATGCATTCATAAAAAACGTATGGACATGGGAAGACGCAGTAATACATAGTAGGTGTTGCCGAGATGAAATAAGTGTTGCCGATACATGGAAAATAGGTATAAACGAAAAAAAAAAAGCGAAAAATTTTCCACTGCGAACAAAAAAAACAGGTGTTGTCGGTACAACACCGGGACCATACTAAATCCACCACCGCGTATGGATATAAAAATCGTAAGTAAAAATATATTATTTTTTAATGGGAGTAATCTAAATGAAAGTTGTAGTAGACTAAAATACGAACGCATGGATATAAAGATCGTTAAAATCTGAGATCATATGAAGAAGTTATGACGTTCAGAACACATGACCTAAGCAACCAAGTAGTCGAGATCGCGATGGATATAAGCATCAAAAGCCCCATACACATCATTAATGAATGTCCCACGTAAGAATTCGTGAGAAAAAACTAAAAAATCATTCATAAATACTGAATGAGTACAAAAAGATGACTTATTTTGCAAAAAAAAAAAAAAAGACTAAATATGTACAAAAATATTAAGGACTAAATATGTACAAAGTGAGAAATATATTACCCTATTAAGTCATTTTTACCGGGTAACCTGTAGTAGCCGGTCATAAGGACTGAATGTATACAGTTTAACAAGTTGAAGAGTTAATGTGGACGAAAAAAAAACTCAGTGACCAAATGTGTACAAATCGAAAAATATATTACCACATCATCCCTATTTTATATTGTACGTTCTTCTGAAAACATTGTACCCTTGCCTATTTCTCATAAGTGTAATCGGAACCGCACGTGGATTGAAGCCTTGGGAGCCCACGTCAAAACTCATGTCCGACTTTGTAATTGATGTTGGGTGAGGTGGGTCTAGAAGTAGAAATGTGGAAGCATTTTTTTCTATATTTAAAATGTTTATATATAAAAGCATACTTAACATTATATGCAAATTCCATATTATCAATTTCAAAGTAACATAGGCATATTTAAGAAACAATGAAATTTTCATAAACTTATGTTAAGAGATGTGGGCGTGATAACATATTGTAACGGGATCTCTCTCTTTCTCAACACTATGTTATAATATAAGAACACCCCACTTTATGTTATAACATGTTGGAAGGTGATGTGGTAAAGTTTGGATGTTATAACATTAACCTTCTTATTGCCCATGCATTGTAGCCTAAAGAATTATATGTTCTTTTATAGAGAATAATGAGTTTCTAAAAAGTTACTCATGGGCCATGGCGATATCATTCATTAGTTCCAACAAATGAAGACCACAAATGAAGACCGGATGTATACACTGTTATAACTTATATTTAGAGTAAATTATACAAATGGTCAGTGTGATTTGGGATAATTATGTGTTTGGTCCCTAACTTTTCTTTTTTATAACTTGGAACATTCATATAGTTATCTTTTGTTTCACGTTTAGTCCCTACTAAATATGAGTTGACATTTATATCATTTTTTACTTATTCTTTATTATTACGTTATTAAAAATATTTATTAAAAGATAAATAAAAGTTGGTCTCGCGCCCCAAACCTACCCTCTCTTTTTACCGTACCTATTTGAGCCACCCTGGTCGAGTCATCTTCTCCGACCACACCTTTAGTTGTCGGAAAACTCATCACCATCACTACACACACTGCTTTTGCTCCTAAGACATGTAATCAATGTAAAACCAATGGAAGCTTATGTACAACTACATTAACATACCACCTAATCTCGACACTTCCCATCTTTTGTGTTCTCCAACCACACAACCACCATCCCCTCCCTATATACATCGTATTCTCTGGTGAGCTCAAAGAAATCAAATAAAAAAAAATCCAAAAACAAACATGATGCAACAACTCAACCACTTTAGTGCCGTTGTGAGAAATTGATAAGCTAAACCAAAACCACTGCCGTTGATTTTTCCATTGATTTTTCTTATCAGAAAAACCCCCCACACACAAAGAAATTTGTAAGAGATAATTATGTTGAAAAAAGAAGACCATTCCTCCATCCATCCCCTTTCTTGGATGATAAACCATTTTGACCCATCTACGGAGGTTGCAAATGGTAGAGTATGTAGATGACAAATTTGTTTCACCCAACACCGTAGATCGAGAAACAACAAATTATTGGCTAGAAAAATGCATATATCTAGTTTTTACCTTCGAAGAAATCTGTCTCACATAATCACTAGAAAATACATAGATTTGTCTTTTATCTCGACCGTTTTCTAGCGGGTTACATAAGGTTTTTGGGTTTTTTTGGCGGAAACACCAGGGCGGAGGGGGAATTCCCAATCGTCCTCCGACAAACATCCACAAAAGTCGATTAATTATATAATCGGTAAACATAGGAGAGAAGAAAGTCTGGATCAGGCTTTGACTTGTTCAAATAAGATTATGAGATTGAATAATTTGAAGAATAATGGTGATGGTAATATAATATTGATCAAGCTATTTAAGCAACCATTCGAATAGCTAGGGTTTCTATATGTGTTAAATTTGAAGCTCCCGTTTTTAGGGATATGGTCGATTTTGAAGGTAGGTTTCATAGTAGTTGTAATGCCTTGTTTCGAATCGTTACCCATTTGGGCATGGATGATGAAATGTAGATGGTTCGGGCATTCATAAGTGGTTATGGTGCTTAGGGGCATTTTGGTAATTTTGGCAGCGGGCTTTTATGGGAATTAAATTTTTGTGTTCGGGGAACTTTAAGTCAAGTATGAGTTGATAATAGTGTTGAGCTTCTCGATACATTTTCATGGATATAAGGATGGTCGGAATCAGAGTTGTATCGAGAAAGTTATGGTCTTCGGAAGAATTAGGGTTTGGGGAAAACCCTAGTACGCGGGGTGTACCAGGGTGGTATGCAGGGCATACCACGGTGGTATGCAGGGCGTACTGATGCGAAGCTACGCGAGGCGTAGTGAGGAGTACATGTAGCGTAGTGCGAAGATGGGTCGGGGTGCGAGACCTCGTACGATGGGCGTACGATGAAGTACGTTGAGCGTACGAGGGGCAAATGAAAACCCTAATTTTTTAGGGATGTACCCAATATAAGCTTAATGTTAGCCTCTTTCCTTCATTCCTAAGTCAGCCTCCACCCTCTAAAAAACCCTAAATCGGCCTTGTAGCCTCTTGGAGGTGTTCTTGAGCTATTAGGAGGCTTTGATGCTCATTTTTGCCCTTAGGAAGGAAAGAATAGAAGTTGGAAGTTGTTTGGCTTGGTGGGAGAGCTTTGGATTCAGAATCATCACTTTGTGGGGAAACTTTTTGAGGTAACAAGTTTGTATCTTGGTTTTTGTATGATTAGATCTCTTCATGGCTAGTTTATTATGATTTTGGTCTTCTTTTTGAGATTATGGACGAGTTAGGTTGTTTAAGGGTTCATCCTTTCAGATCTAAGCTTATTTTGGTATCCTTGAGCATAAAGGTGCAAGCTTTATGTGTTGTATGGAGTCATGCATGCATTAAGTTAACCAATAAGTCCCTTTTAAGCTTAAGAGCTTCTTTTAGCCATGTATAAACGTAAATTTAGCAACTGTACGTGGTATTCCAACTCAAGGAGGTTAGATATGTGGTTTGGAAAGCTTTGTCTTAATGGATTAAGTGAAAATCGGGTTTGGGTTGAATAAGGGTGAGTACGCTGGGCATACAAGCAAGTACGCGCGGCGTACAAGCCTTCAAGCGAGTATGTTGCACGTACGTGCTTGTACGCCCCACGTACCCGGTCTGAATGGGCTTGGTGTGTTTGGGCTTCGGTTTGGGCCATCTTTGGGCTTGGATTGCTTGGGGATTTTTTGTGCC